GTAATAATTGTAGGACGCTGCAATCAAATATTTAACTCTTGCGGTGAATATTCTTCGTTAATTAATGATGTACGTACGTTTCAATCTACATTTGGAAACTGTGTTTGAGCTTTTTACTTTTTATTTACAATCTTTGGTTGCAGAGAATTCTTCAAGTTTTATGAAGAAAAATTCTTCGACGATGGACTGACAAATCTCATTTTCTCGCTTAAGATAGTTAAAGAAACTAGCTAACTTTTGCCCGGGAAAGCAGTAACAACTTATTATCCATTGCAGTTGTTAGAATTTTGTTACAATTATTATATCGCACAATCGCCATCACTATTTCTGATCTACAGGGCTGTCTGTTATAACTTCAAGAGCCGCAGGTTAGAATATCGAGTATATAGCCAAGGTATCGAAAACATGTATGATGCAAGACGGATAGGCCTAACACGTGATGTTAACATGTCTCGTAAGCTAATTAATTCCGTAACTCAGTGCCGCTCAGTGCCGGAAAATGTTGACACTAGTTAGTATTTCCGCCTAGATAACTTACTCCTCGTGCTCTCGCAGTGATATTAATATTTACTCGCCTGCACCACGCGTCTATGCAACGAAATATCTATGGATATATATTACACATCATTTGCAATAATATTAATTATTAGTGTATTAATATATCTGATTTTCCCATAATTTTCACGAAAATGGAACAGCCTTTTGTTGCCGCACTGTAACGCCATTACGCAAACAATCGATCTCGCAAATCCTCAAGATTACGCGCCGAAGGCCATATGGTGTTGGATTACGCCTCCCGAAGCATTTAAATTGGCTCCATCTAAATGTCTTGTCAGGATTTCTAGACTTTGACATAAAAGAGAGCAAAAAGTTAACTCGTTGGAAATAGGATATTTTCATCAGAGGTAATCCGAAAGATTCTTACGTGGAAATTATTCGGCGAAATTCCTCGCGTTTCTTCGTAGAATATATCGTGAAAAGTAGTATTCTCGGAATAGAAGCGACATTCTCGCATGTAGTATGTAATAACACGAAGAAAAGAAATCACCCCATGCTCGATCTCCCCCGAAACTGGAGCTTCGCCGCTCTTCGTCTTTTCCGTCAGCGTACTTTGTGGACATTCTTATTTCGTGAATTTACATTCTGGATCGTTCATCATCCGCTTACACGCACATTCATACACGTCATCCATGTAGCCCGAACTCATTTCTATTCGCTTCAGGATTGAGGAAGATGTGGGAACGCGTATTTTGCTGAAACCAAGAGAATGTTCCTTATTACGACGCTTCTTCAATTACTTTTCCCTTTCCAGATTCACGACTTTTTTTCTCCCTTTTTGCGCCCCCCTCCCCTCTTTCTGTCTGTTTTTCTCTAGCTTTCTTTTTCTGTCTCTCGAGACTAAACGAGCTTTTTAATCAATTCAAAAGCATATTCCTCTTTGTGCTTCAAAAAGGAAATACGGCGGACATTCTTGTTACTTGCAATCCCGGATTTGAGAAATTCCTTGTTAAACTGCAAATATAAAACTAAACGACACATTTGTGAAAGCTGAAGATTTCATTTTCCTCGGTGCAAAGTTATTTAGCCGGCTCAAACTCGTGTGCGATTTAGAATTGAACAAATACCTTTTTCAATTACTTTTTATGATGCTCGACTTTCTTTTATTAGATCTCTATTCGGCCTTTAACGTTCTCGCTGCTTTACATCGAATCGTCTATTATTGGACGAGAATTGCTTCCCCGGAATATCTCCGATGCATACGTCCTTAATTTTATCGTCGGGTTTTCTATCGCGTTACACGCGTTTCGTGACCACAAGCTTCAGGTTGATCAAATTACTCTTCATGTCCTCTCATTCGTGCGACACGCATCCAAAGTAGCATGAATCTAATCGAGGAAGGTTGTTCCAGCAATTTCGTTATCGCGCTCTCCTTGATAACTGTAAAATGATAATTTTCCTTGGGAAAATTATGGGAAAATTATTCTACCGTTTCTCGTTTGCGCGATCAAGGTATAATTTTAAATTCTCTAAAAATCTCTCAAAATGTTACATCTGCGCGCTTCCTTCCGCTACACGAGGAGACAAAAATTTGCGCGATCGCAAAATTAAGACTCTTTCGCGACTTTTCGCTCGTTTCTCACTTTCGCATTCTTGTTGTCGATCGGCCATAAAACGCATTTTTCTACTTCATGACGATTGCGACGGCTAGAGCGAACGAGAGGGAAACGATCACTTTTACGACGTTACGCGAATTCACCCGGTCACTGAGTTTTGGAGTGAACCACGCTTGCGCAAGTCCAACAAGGTGCCGGAGCCAGAACGACGTGCAACAACCATGCGAGCTTCAGTTTTCGCCAGGGCCTCGTCGTGAAAAAAGGTTCGCGGTCGCACGCGAACGAGGGGGTACTCTTTTCCCGCATCCTGGATCGCCGCGTGGTGCGAGTCGATCGTCGGAAGGGAACGATGAACGATGAACATGACGCGCTTCGATCCGTAGATCACGAATTCGCGAATCCAAAAGCGTCCCGCTCGGCGCCTCGTCACGAGCAGCTTATTTCGAATGAGAGTGAAAGCGCAAATTGGTATCGCGTGTGGAAGCGGCTACTTTGCATTTCCGCTCTTTATCGCTCGGCGTGCAAGACCGAAAGATTTCCATTAAAAACACACATCGTTCGTGATTTCGCGTCCGTTGAGAGTCGCACGTGTCAAATTGGCTCGGTTGTAAATTAATACAAATTATAGCAGTTATAGTACCCTACTTTGTACAAGGCTTTCGCGAGCCTTTCGTGGAACAACGCGCGCGCGCGCGCGTGTGTGTGTGTGTGTGTGTGTGTGTGTGTGTTGCGAGATGTAGATCTCGTTGTTTTCCGAGTCTCGTCAGCAATCCTGTCGTTGATTGCAATTGTAATGTGAAATTTCTGCGAAGGACCACACGCATTGCGTGCGAGTGGAAGAAGACGCGAGTTTGTGGCAAATCTGAGAAGTTGCCGGTGATATGTCATATAACAATTTGTAAAGTTCCTAGTGAATACATGGCAACGTCCACGGTGGCGGATCGTCATGAAACCGTCGAGAGAACTTCCGCGGATGTTTCTGAACGTGGTGTTCTTCCCATGAACGTCTGTCCGCCCAGCAATTTCCCAGACAAGTTTCAAGACTTCTTTGCGGCGCTGACCGAAGACGGGGACGATCTACCCAGTATGCTCGAGGACAAGCTTATACCGAGGTGAATAGTTACTGAATAAATTCTTATTTAAGTACCGTGAAAGAATATCCATGAATAGACATTGTGAAAGAATTGCAACAAGTAGTTTCAATTTCAAAATAAAAAGAAGCGATTTAAAAAAGATACGCTTAATAGTAATAAAGAGAGATGAGAGAAAAAATAAGTATACATGTAAATTCATTGTCAATTTAAAAGTGAAGTTGAAATATAAAAATCTTAATTAAAATAAATATTAAAAGCATAACAATTTAAATCTACAAATCGATTATCAATTAACAACAAAAACAATAATATTACAATAATATTAGTATTCTTATTGAAGCGTGCAGGGCTTAATTAACTGCGAAATGTCGAAATATAATTAAACAACTATAAATAACGCTAATCAGATTAGTCGTAGATTAAATAATGATTGATGTCACATAATATTGAAACAAAAAATTTGAGTACATATGTTGTTTTGGAGTCAAAAGTCGAATATTGTTATTCATATAGCTTTAAAAGTAACATAGCGCTAACTGTTTCATTTATATGAATATTTTAATTAATGGACAAAAGATATGAAGCCGTCCAAACGATTTGACAAGTTGCAAATGCGATAATACCGTAATACGGATCGATAATGCAATCGAGAACTCTGCAACTTTATTTCGTAATTACATTTCTCAATCTGGGAAGAGTATTCCGGACTGACTCTCGTGTCGTAGTGAACGGCATGTGACAAACGCGCGTGGGAAGTCTTTGGTATTGACTGAAGCCATTTAAAATTTTCCCAATCGGATTAGAGCCGGTCGCGAGGCGACTTTGCGCTACTCTACGCCGTTCTTTAATGAATCAATCTTCCGTCGAAACTGAGTTTAAATGGAAAGAATGAAAATAGAGCAATGATACTCTCGGGAAAAATCGATGGCGCGATGCATGCGTAAAAATAGGATTAAATCGTTCTCCGATTGCGAAATTGCGAAATCGAGTAACGCAGCAAATACGAATATTCACGTTTGGTGAAAACTTGCAGAAAGCCAGACGTCATGAACGTCGACGCGAAGAGTCGACGTTGGAGCAAGAGGGCTTTTCAGAGGCGAAGCAGCGAGGTGGAAGTCCGTCTGCATCACACTTCACTATCTGGCTCTCAGGGTCACAGCAGCGTGGACGGACCGAAATCGCCAACTCCCTCGAGACGCAGAAGCTCCAGCATCGCGGTTGCCAGACCCACGCCAGACTTGCACAGGTTGTCCCCTCGTAAAAATGATTGATTGTCGATTTATGTAATCCGCTCGACATTCGTGCGGCAATCCAATCTGCGAATCTGCTTAAAAATAATCCTCAGCGTCTTAGGTCTGAGACCGGCGTTGGAGCTTTTTGGCGAATCGCCGAAATATAAATTGATTGGGAAGTCTTGGATTTACGGCACGTGCCGATAACAACATTCTAATTTCGTATACGATAGATTTCTGCAAGCGGAGGCCGGTCCCTGGGGTCACCTGTCGCCATCGCCCAGGAGTCCGACCAGGACACCGGCATTGAGTCCTGGTGCCGCGTCGTCGTCGTCGCATCTGAGTGCGAGCGCGAGTCCCTGCGGAGGGCACAGCCCGACGAGTCCTTCCGGCCCGGCTGGAGTGGCATCCGGAATTCGTGGAGGAGGTCCTAAGCAATATCGCAACAGGACGAGCAGCATGCCGGCAGTTCCACGTCATAGGGTAAGGATATATAAGGATGAAATAGAAGATAATAAACTAGAAACTAGGTGGTAAAAAACTTTTGGTGGTAATAAAAGATCTTAGAATATCTTGTATTCTCTTTCCGTGTACAGAGAGGAGAAGAAGGGAAAGAGAGAAAGAAAAAGAGAGAATAATTTACGATTCGCGAGCTTCGACAGGAAAACAAATATAGTGGAACGCGTAACGATGAGCCTCATATACATACATATAGATCGACGGCGCACGTGGCTGAGTTAATTTCCTCGGCCATTGTGTACGATACCTCGAAACTGTTACCGAAAGGCTTTCCCTGTAACGACGGCAGCGATTCAGGCGTATCGGCAAGTGAGACGAATACGGAGTGCGTAGGTAAATTTCGCCAAATGGTGTACAGCCACCGTGCACAATAGAACCGAGAATATCACGGCTCGTGGCTGTCACTCTTTCCGAATTTCATCGAAATTCCGCGTAGTACAATCCCGAAACACGCGAGTGAAAATGGAAAATTGGAGCGGCCGTAACGAGACTCTTAGAGAAACTACGGCTTTTCCATGTCGATGATCTCTTTTTTCATTTGAAAGCTGTTGACGTGTCGTTACAACTTAAAATTGAGCAAAATGTAAGCGATAGAAACAACAAAAAAAAACTAAAAAAATTAACTTAATTTACACTATTGCTTTTATTTTTAAATCCAATTTTAAAACGTTTGTAAACGTTAGAAGTGAGATAAATTTAATTGATATGTGGAAATTGAGTTTCCTCTTTTTCACGTTTCTAGATAGATAGTAATCAAACAATTTCCTACTTTGAGATACAAAAGAGCAGTTTTCGATAAAGCTTTCGAAAACTCTTTGGAGATATTATTAATCTCATTTCTATTAAATTCTGCGCAAATCGTTATTATAATTCTCGATAATTTATAATATAACAAATATTTCATTCAGAATTTGTATTCGTTGAAAATTTATATATACATGGAAAAACAAATTTCGCTGCCATAGCTAATGTAATCATGATGAGCTAAAACTATGTTTGCTGCCATAACTATAAATTTATAAACTATAGCAAAAGGGTTTGCTATTGCTCCTAATACATAAATAAAGTAGCAAAACATGCGTGTCTTAGAATCATATCGAATAGCAACATAAAAATAGTTATCGGAATTAACCGATATGTCAGAGATATACATTCGATTCGTAACACAGAAATGATCGATAATTCTATAATCTATAATTAATCATGATAATATGAATATTCGAATATTAGAAACATTCTCAGTAGAAAATACTATTAATAAAGATTTATTAGTAACTCCCAGTCAGTTTAAATCTCTCGTAAAAAATTCTACGCAAGAGTCATGATGCAAGAGGCATGATGTGGACCACTCGTTTCCTTATCTGTAATTAGACTTGAAGGTTTCCATAAAGTTCTCAAAAAAATTTCGAATGTTATTACGTCAAGGAAAAATATCGCTTTTTCAATTGCTACTCGATATCAGTTCTTATTTTGTTATAGATTTATGGCTCAAGAGAGTATTCTTTTAAATAGGAATTGAAATAGGATCAGGAAATGTCATTTATATTACTGAACATCATCATTTTAATAATTTTATATTATCATTGCCAAATGATATAAATTATAATGCATGTTTTGTTACTAATTGGATCAATTATAAAGGTACTTGGTACCAACGTAAAATGATATTGCTTTGTGGAATAGATGAAAATTCTTGCTCCATTTTTGCAGAAATTCAATTTATTATTATTCATGATAATAGTCCGCTTTTTATTTATTCATCTCTTATAAATATTGGTCTGAATTGCAATATTGGTGGTTTCGAAGTGGAACAGAGTCTTAAAGAGGCTCTCAATTAAATATGAAGATTTAGTTGATCCCTTTCCCTTTGTTTGTATATACTATGGGAAATGATGAACAATATATTATTTTACGATTGAACAATATTGAACAATATATTATATTATTCCGTTTAATTTTTAATATTCTTTATGACATTTCCTGATCCTAAATATTAACATTTTTTTATGTATTGTACATTCACATTCGTAACATCTAAACCTTGAAACTATACAAAAATAATACATACAAAGTTTTATAATATAATTTTATACTAAATATATATAAATAGTTGCAATAAGAAGATGTGATAACAAATATTAAGAAATTATATTTTAAAATAAGTTTATTTCCAATAAGTCCATTTAATTTTGCATACATTTTTCTTGTTTTTTGAATTTGATTTTTTAATTTATGCATATCTTTATAAAATAATTTTAAACCGTTCATGCTCACGTTACTAAAATAAGAATCGCTGTTAATAAATAAGAAAATAATTAATTATTATTATTAATAATTAATAATTAGTTTTTAGTAGTATGTATATGTATATGTAAGATTATTATAAAGAAAGTATAAATGTTTCTTAAAAAATATATATATAAATATATATATATAAACATATTTCAATACATATATGATTTTATTTTTTATATTATTATATTTCTGCAACTTCCCTGAACTACAGTAAAAATAAAATCCATTTGATAGCTACCTTGAATACACTTTTAGCTACAGGGTGTTGCTAAAACATTGCCGCAAAAGCGTATTAGCAATGACAGCAAAAGTTATGTTTTTCATATATAAGTAGTGTTCACGCTTCAACTAATTGCTGTAAAACATGTTGCAATTGCTGTTAACTGCTATATGTATTGTAGCTAAATCTTCTCTGTGTATCAGATAGCTAAACTTTTTTAACTAAATAATATAGGTATCACAGCTAGGACATTAGCTGTCCACATATTACGACTGTAATTTAGCTATCACACGCAGTTTTTAGCTGCAGCAGCTATTTTTTTTCCGTGTAGGCGGAGGCGGATTATAAAGTACTACAGCTACAGTATTAAAAATAATTATAAAATAAACATTTATTATAAATATTAACTGAATTTGTAAAAAAAAAAAATAAAAGTTCCAGATACAATAATGTTAAAATAGTTTGAGAGAATATCCAGAATATTAAAATAGAAACAAAATTTTACCTTTTATAGAATATTGCGACCCTAAAATAGAATCTATAGACTAAATAATATAATATATACAATAAAAAATATTGCTCTGTTAAAAGAAAATTAAAATTCTAATCGAGTTTCAAAGTAACGGAAAAATTTCAATTCGGAATACAAAGATTAATTTATCTTTTTATTTTAAGAAAACTCAAGTTTATTGACACACACACGGAACTACAGGTCCTGAAACATAAGGAGAAAAATGCAGTTACATCTTTTAGCCAATTTATCTGGTTAAATTTAACGACGATTGACGCACGCGGTGACCAGAGCAGACAAGGGCAATATAAATCCGGTCACACATGAAATCCATCGAGGATTCGTCGCGAGCTTAAGTCTCGACGTTGAGCGCCAATCCAACTTTGTGACCACCTCTGACGACGTTCGCGCAGTCAATGTTGAACGAGAGGATCAGCGTGACATTGTCGCTGAGCTTCTGCAAAAGGCTCGTGGCTAACTGGAGATCGGTGTTGAATTTAAATCGCAAGATCGATCGCTCGTCGATTTTGTATTTGGCCGCGGCGCCAATCGTCCACTTTTGTATGTCGTTTCGTTTTCCGTACATACCGTTTACTGCGACGGACAAATCGGGCCTCACTAAAGAACAGACGAGGTGCCGCGTCAGTAGTCACGAAATGATATATAGGTAGAAAGATATTTGAATATTTGAACATTGCTTTAAAAAAATATATAAATCGTAAATCAAATTGCAAACGTCATCCTGGCAACTAACGGTATTAGGTTTTGATCCTGGCAATTAACGGTAATTAACAATTATCGCGTTGAACGAATAATTTTAATGAACGAAACGAATGAATAACCCAAGCGAAGCGTTATCTACGTGTAATATTATATTAATTTGTGCGTAAATCTGACGGTGATGTTTATTTACGATCTGAGTCTTCACTATATATCGCTGTTATACAACGCTTATAGATCCTTCACATAGAATATTCCTTAAGGCTACGTTCCGATTTATGCTCACAGCACTCGTTCAGCATTACCGTTCTTGTTTAACGTTTGATAAACAACAAAGACGAAATAACTCTATGAGCTTGAGGTGAGTGCGAATCGGAACGCAGCACCTAGAGCTGCTAATTATCGCCCCCACCACTCTCTCTCCTCTTTGCTCAATTCCGTCGAGAAAATTGATAATTCCGCCACGACATGCGCCGATATATGTTAAACGACTTGTATTACCTGACCGTATTCTGTCTACCTCCGAACGCGGAGCCGACAGTATCTCATTACAGCTTGAACCATGTATAACCCTCCATTACTTAGGACGCGAGAGAGAGAGAGAGAGAGAGAGAGAGACAGTGGTAATTTAGTAGTCCGCTCTAAGTCGACAACGGTGCGATTTCGCGACGCAAGAAGCAATGAATGGGGGAACGATATTACGGAGTGGACGGAAATTGCTTTGTTGTCGACTTAGCTACGGAGACGATTAGTCTTCGACGACGTTGGCGTCTCAGAACGTTAATATTATACGCCGGTTTTTGTATATGAGAAAACCTGCGTAATTCGTCATCACCGCAGAATCTTAATCACTTACTCTTGTGTAACACCGAGAGGCCGTATACGTGCGGTATGGAGGTGCATCGAAGGTACAAGTCGACATCGGCGCAACCGTAAGCGAGGCCGACGTCATTCTTTGTCACCTTGTTCGAAATTATATCGTAGCCACCCTGATAGCCCAGGAACAAATCCCGACATTTCACCACTACCGAGCCAAGCAGGTTGATGCCCGAGTCCATACCGTTGGCTGCAAATAGGGATAAAGCCAGTAATTATAATGATTCGATACTCGATAATGTCGGAACTGTGCTCGCGCGTAATCGAGCACAGTTAGAAAAGATTATTTCTATCACAAGCAAGCAAGGACCACGGAGAATGATATTTCTCTATCGGAAAAAAAAGAGAACTCTAATTCCCCCCTCCCCCTCCCTTCCCACCGCTGTCGGAATTTAATTGAATGCTAAATTGTCTCTCCATCGAAATCGCTGAAATTCGAATTCAGCTGCCTCTTTGCCCGCGCATATTTACCATGTATTTTTATTCTACTGAAAAATTCAACGGCGAAAGCACTGACAGCACTTTTCGCGTCCATGGAACCGCGCAATAGCGCGGTTGTCCGCAAGCTTGTCCAGAAGTGCCTGTATCGGTCACCACCGCGGAAACCCGTGTTCGCGGAAATTGCCGTGACTTGTTAGCCAACGTTCGAATCGCTGTGGTTCCCACAAACTTTACGTAATATTGGAAAGGAGTTTGTGCGGGTAGGAGAAATTATTTATTAAAGTTTCAAGTCTGTGGCGCGCAGCGTGCAATCGCCAAGTATACGACGAAGAAGAAAGTTAGAGCAAATTGCTTGGGAGAACCAAAAGCGAAAGGACATACGCTCCGATCTCCTTCTCGCATGTATTAAATTTCTATGCTCATCCTTGTATAAAAGAACATCGAGAAAAACATTTGTCCTTACCTTTCTCTAGTGAAATAATAATAAATAATTAATGTAATACTCGAGAGGGAGAAGATGGAGATTTACTGTAGATAACAGTGTCCCAGTAAACTTTTTTATCAATGTTAACTATACGAACCACGTATTTAATTACGGGAATGCTTCTCGTATTTCGCAATATTAGAAAGTAGTCCGATTGTAAATAAAGAGATAAAATCCGCGTTACTTTGTACATTTAGTATTATTAATACGTTTTCTTTTTTCAATTTATCTCTAGTATTAATCATATATGCAAAAAAGGTTTTTTTTAATGACATAGTTTCAATTATATGTCATATTTCTCAACGAGGGTTCGTTACAAAGTATGGGCCACGGTATATATAATTATATTCTTTGTCCCTTAGACGAAAATATACAAACGCGATACCTGGAAGCCCTTTATCCGTCGCTCAAGTAGCTACCTGACCAAAGCTATTAGCTTACAAAACTTTATAAATAGAAATTGAATTTGTTCCTCAAATTTTGCTGTGCTTCACAGGGAAATCCCCGTCAAGATCATAAATATTATCGAAGAGGTGACTAATATTCAGGATCTTTCTCAGAGAACACAAGCGCGCATGCCTTCAATCGCGAAAGGGATATTTGTAGTTCCCGATTATGCAAAGTATAATTAGATCCAAAGAAATTAGTGTGACTAACAAATCTGGCATTGCGCGTTGATCCTCTCGTTGGCGAATTTCGAACCGACCTTCATGCTTTTCGCGGCCGTTTCCGGATTATAAGTGCACTCGGAGAGTAAATCAACGCCCTTCATTAGCAGCCCACTAAACTCGTATCCCAGGGAAAGCACACCCTCGGTCGTCCATTTTAGTAGTACAGCCCCAGCATTTGCCTTGTACTTCGTCTCCATTAAACCGCTTAACTATCATCAATTCGTTACAAGTAAACTGTTTTAGTAAACAATTTTCTGATTTTGAAACGCCCAAGTAATATGAAACACTATGTGTGTTTTCAAGATTACTTGGATTTGGTTTTAATAAATCACTTAAATATATCATTTTAAATTCTTACGTAAGAATATTACATTATAAGAATTATATATAAAATTTAATTTTCTATTACTGATTTAAGAAACAAAGAAACGTTTTATTAATATTAATAAATTAATAAATATTTTAGGTGCATTAAAATGTATTGTTAAATATAAAATTGTTAAATATAAAAAGAATAAAAATCCATCACAGTTTTTCCGCTTTCAAATAGTTAGCGTGAGTTTGAATCCAAACATGCATACATTGCCTGTATAATCCTACATGTAATTAAATATAAATATTGCCGCTTGAAATAGTTGATTCAGCATTTTCACGCAAAATTTGTCGCGAGATAAACGGTAGTTCGCATCACTTGTTTGTTTTTTCCAGGAATATATAATCGATGAAATAATCAGTGAATACGAGCGTTAATATTAACTGATATAAATAATATTGTCGAAAATTTAATCTCTTTTATAAGAATTTAAAAATATCTGAATGAAGAGTATATATTAATCTTTTATAGATTTAACGATCGATATAATAATTTTATAAAATTAATACAACCTTTGACGTTTCAAAATTCAGATTTGTGTCACTCGTCATCAGAAATCTTTTAGCAGATTTAGTCTTGACATTGAACTTGATAAGACCTTTTCCATGGTGATAGCCCGTTTTGAAAACATCCCTCGCATTTTTCCCAAGATCAGCGAAATTCGGTACTTCCATCACAAATTCAGAGGTTTTCTTGAGATAAATGATTTTTATGTTACAAATATTCTTACCTCTAGATCGTTTTACACACACACATATATATATTATACGATTTATATACTTCTAATTCAATAGGTTCTATTCAGATCGAGACAACTAATTCCGATCAATTTGATTCTCACGTTTCTTCTTCGTTAAAACGTGTCTTCTTGTTTTGTTAGGCGATTCGAGTCTCAACAAATTGTTGAGCTGCGATGTAATTCGAAATGACGATGTACGCAAGAGTTTTTCGACATGATGAAAACATGATCGACATTAATTTTTCATCACAAAAAGATACGTGATATATAAGAGATTAATCTTATATAGTTTCTGAGCGACGTGGTCGATATCTGTTTTCTCAGCTTACCCTCACATTACAATCGTCAAAGAAACGAGATGAACTTGATCAAAGAGGAGAAAGTGAAGTAGAATTAAAATCTATCGATACATCCGAATCCGAATCGACGTTTACTCAAATTCAAGTGGATAGATCGAGCAACGAGTGATGAATGTATGTATGTACATATCATCGAATGTGTTCACAATGTTTGCAGCGATTAGCGAACGTGATTCGTCGCGACCCTAATATGTAACGAGAACGTGTTTCCGCCACCTTTCCGCCCCGCGTTTCGCAATTGCGAAGGGTGATAAACGCACACGTCGACAGCGCGCACGCCGCTTGCTGTGAAATTTGCAGAACTTTATACATCGATGTACGTCACGCACTCCATAATTCAATCGGCAAACGCGTCAGCAAATCGCATCGAGATATATCGCGCGTAACGGTTTGACAATTAATAATGACATTTGCGGACGATGAGATTATTCATTCTTCGTATAATGTATTAGAAATCGTCTCTCGTTTATTATATTGGAATACATTACACATCGATAAGATTACTTAAATTACTTAAAAGTAATTTCATTCGTTACTGTTATTTGTTATTCACTGAAAAAAAGAATTCGTTACCATTATCCTTTCTAGTACATGCAAATCGATTACTCGCATCTTTCGAAGTATTGTTGCCGCTTTTCCGCGATGCCGATTGGTTTCTCTCGCTACGCTAACTTCGTGAATAGCTGTCATTGCATTGATCTCACAGAGGATCGTTTTGACAATTGTGTGTGTCAAGAAGTTAAAAATATTATAATAGTATTTTATTAATTTTTGCTCTTGTGTTAAAAAAGATAAATAGCGCGCGTGCAATGCACATTTGTAATGTCTAGTCGTTACTTAAAAAATAATGAACTATTATAATTTCTTCTGTTTTATTTTTTCAGAAAATTTTGAAAAAGTCCTTCTTTTAAGACTTTCTTACGTTAATTTCATATCTATGTATATGTAGAAAGTAGTAATTGTGTAAGTATATAAATAAGTAATATAATATTATAATTATATAAGTGACGTCGTTTTATTACGTTTCTTATGCATATTTTTTTGCATATTTTTAGATTTCAATATTTTTTATTAATGATTTTTCTTTTATTACAATACATATACATATATAATTTATTATAGGTTTTTTCTTATTTTTCATTATAGACATACATGTATAGAATATCCTATTTTAATGTCCCTTGAATAATGCATTTTGAAGAAAAATGTTTTACATAAAAGTTGTAGAATTTCAAGAAGGCTGCATAATTGCATTGATATTGATTTATTTGCAGATAATCCGCTATCGAGATTTTTTTATTGTTGCCATTTTTTTAAATATATAGAATATATAAATATATAGAATTATATATTTTTTATGTAATATGATTCCTCTAGTAATTTTGAATAGAAAAGTATTAAGATACAAATGTCAAAAAATGAATAGTTTACGAGATATTTTATATTTTATTCTAGCATCCTGT